TAAAAGTTTACCACTTTATTTAAGCAAGTACGTATGGAATTTAATTAATTACAATTATAGTTAGTATGTGAGTCTCAATTAGTTATAACTAAGCTCAATAATTTTGAGTGAATATTTCATTGGCAATTATAGTCATTTGATACTTACATGGCCGAAAATAAACAACTTTTTATTAATAAATTTTCTAAACAAGATTACCCGAAATTCAAACCAAAAATAAACGCAAATATTTTCTTTTTATTGTCTAATGTTAATGTCTACAAATTATTTAACCTTTATTGTTTAAAAATGAAAAGGAAAAATATGTACATATATAAAAAATAAAAGAAATACCTTAATATTAACCACGAAATCTTGTAAGAAATTAGCAAAGGATCTAAATGTATAGACTTGAAGAAAAAAACAAAGAAAATAAAACCCTCAATTGTGGTGTAAGTATCATACTGTTTTTAATAGAGGTATGCAATATTTTGATCTCATATATAGAATTATCCATGAAAATTATCATTTCAGTCAAGGATTCAACAATCACCATCGTATTAGATACATGTATGATATATATGTATATATGTAATGTGTGCAAACATTGTAGAAGGAATGATAAATGATTAAAATTTTAGTTCAGAACAACGCATATAAGGGTGTGTAAATGAGGAAATTAAGTTATTCTGATATCTACGTTACATGTACGTATATATGTGTGCTATTATATATGAGACGCTTACGTGTATAGAGTGTCCGAGATTCGATGTTTTTTCTGAAGGAGGATTATAATATGGGCTCGAATAAACAAATTTTCTTCTTTGCGCCATTATTTTAGATTTATTGAGCTCCAGGCTCATGACCTTCCTGAGAAGCATTCTCTTTGTGTATTTTTTTTTTTTTTGTAACGCAGGAATTTCATGAGACATAAGTTTTAAAAAATGGTCTCACTTTTAATTTTTTATGAATAATAGTATTAAAAATGTAAAAAGATGTCATTGTACGGGAAGTCAAATTTTGAGATAGCTCAATAAATTGAACAGATACGGATATACTGGTAGTGATTTTTGTTCATCCGAGACTGTTATTATTCTCCTTCAGAAATGTTATCAAGCCTTAAACACTTTGTATATTATTTCACATGTACTTACACATGTATTTTTTAATATTATTGCTAATTGTGCACAAAATTCCACTTTTTAAAGTTAAATTTTATCTAGTATAGAAATTGTATAATATACATAGATATGTGCACACACATTGTGTTAGGTTTTCGAAGTAGTCTTGTATTATAACAACAAAAATATTAAAGATAATTTATAAAAATAATTTTGAGATATTCTGACCGGTCTTTTGAATGGTGCACGCAATAGTGAACAATAGTGAATCCGGAGGATGCCATATTATTGAACCAAGCAACAGAAGACAGAAGAAATACTGGATCTGCATAGATTAATTGAAAGCTACGTAATAATACCATGTATTAAAATATTTTCGTTTAACTTTATTATAACTACGAAGTGATTTTTGATAATTTCATAAAAAATTCTAAAACAGAAGGTTAAACAATTTGTTTTCGATAATCATTTACCTAATCCTCTACGAGTTTGGTATAAAACTAAACATAATGATTAGAATTCAATAGTGAACAAAACCTGAGCCTACGACCCCCTTTAAGCCAAAAATTACTAAAATGCATTTCGACTTTGTTTGCAAATACAAACGTTTCGACCGCTGCTACAAATCTAATAAATATGTTAGAGTACTATAGATCAAACATCTGCATTAAATTAAATTTGTACTTTGCGTATTAAATATGTAATTTATAATAAATGTAAAATACACATATATAAACAATTCTTGTCCATTTAAGGAATTTAAAATGATAAATGATTTTTGAGTATAAAATAAAAACATAAGAAAAAACGCAAATCCTATATCCGAAATATTCCAAGTGCTGTACGAATTTGTAAAAAATTATGATGTTGAAAAGGATGAGATTTTCCTTAATAGAAGCTAAGACGTATAAAAAAAAAACTCAAACGTAAATGATACGTGCATGTATGTGGAAAAGTTTTATGTGACGATAGCAAAGCAGCAACATGCTTCTCTATAGCCTTTAAAACCTTTAAGATAAAATTGTATTTGTATATTTTTCATTTAATCTTCATGTAAGTAGGTACACTCGTAAAATTAGTTCTTGTTTGAATAAAATTATAACAAATTTTTATTATGTTAAGAAAAATCAAAGAAGAGCAGATTTGTAATAGGAAAATATTCGAAAATAATAATAATTTTAATAATTCCTTGTATAAAAATTATTAAGGATTTGCAAAAGAGGTTAACAGTTTTTAAAATTTTTCTATAATCTTATAATTTTCCTAGAGTTTACTCCATAACTTTATGATTTATCTATGCGGATGTCTTAAAAAAATGGTGGTGAAAGAAAAATTTTATTTAATAAAGTTTTTTGTGTTGCATTGCGACGAGTCACATGTAAAATAGTTTAAGTACTAATTGTTCAGCTAAGGATATAAAGAATGAGAGTTGGGAAAAGAGAAAGCAAAATATGAAAATGGCGTCAAAAAATAAGACACCAAAAGAAAAAAACGTTCTATATCAATAAAAATAGACAAAAGGCATACTCAGTGAACGATCAAGTTTTCAAGAAAGAAGTAGATCAAATTCTGCCTGATACAAACAGAGAACAGAAAATTTTGGAGCTATAAATCAAATAACGTAATAAATTCGAATGAGCATTGTTTAAAATGTCGAAACAATGTCACAAACATTTTAAACTTGTACGTTATTATACTAAAAGCAAGGTAGTTGCTTGGTTTAAGTAATGGTTACGATGATCACATATGTATATCAAATAAAGGTTAAAATAGATACCTACTGCAGACGAAAATTTTATTCAGCAGATTCATTAGCCGTACTGGCAGCCTTCATGCGCAGCAGTGCTCAAGAAAGGCTCAAATTATCTGAAGGTGCATTGCAACCAATACAAAACAATCAAGAAAAAACTCATGGACTTACCCAGCTCCACTGGCGATTTACTTTTAGGGATGGTATCGAAAAACTGAACATATAGGAAAGGAATTTCTTGCAAACGATGGACAATAGTTTTGGTAAATTTTTAATTTATTTCTTAAATACGAATCTCAAAGAATCCTAATTTTTCTCAAAAATAACTATATATTTATAGGTTCACATTATGTTTATTTATTAATTTGTATTTTTCAATAAAAAATTCTTTAATGAAAGCTATTATTTTCTAAATAAATGAACACGCTAAAACAACATTTAAAACAAATTAATTAAATGATTTGATCCTTATATTTTGTTATTAAACTTTTAAGAAATTCAAAATTACTTTAAGAAAAAAAAAATAAGATTAAATTTTATTTTTAATATTAAATTATTTATAGAACATTATACGCTCGTTAATGTTTAGTTCATGTTGGGTATCAATGGATTAAATACCGATTATAAGGATTAAATTAAGACCATATTTATAAAATAAAATTAAAATAGTTTTAAATTTCTGAATAAGCTTTTACCTCAATTAATATTGTTATACAATGACTTAAATGATTTTAGGATTTTACGTAAATTATTTAAAAATTATTAAAGTATTATTGAATTAGTTTGACATTTTTGTATAATGAACAAATTACACATGACTTTATGTCAATCACAAAATTTGAAAGATTTGAAATGAACTTATATTGAATTTTTCTCATTATTCTGACCGCGTTTCTAAGTAAACAATCAGACTTAAAAAAAAAATTATGAAAACATTTAAAAACAATCTGATGCAGACAGGACTAATGAACCGCAATGTTATTTGTCAAGTTTAGCGAAAGTATTTCACAAGATTTTGAAAATATCTTTTAAATATTATCCCCCTCCTTTCCTGTTCTCAAGGACTGGCATGTCCCGAAAATTTATATGATATAGCCAAGCTGAACTTATACATATAGTTTCATCAAACGTCAAAATTTCAGATAAACGCGTACACAGACTAGCAAACAGATATCTCGCTAAAATAATTTAATTATGCTTCCCTAATATGAAGAAGTACGTCTCCACCGAAAACTCATAGCAAAAGATTTTCTAATTATTCAACTCTCTCTCTCTCTCTCTCTTACTTTAAATTAATCAAATCTCTCTTATTTAACTTTATTGAAATAATTAAGCTCTTTACGTAGTTTCTTAATTTTCTCTTGGTATTTTAATTAATTAACCTCGTTCTTTTATTTTCTTTTTATATTAAAGAAAGCCCAGGCAAGACTCTTTATTATTTTTGATGAGCTTTCAAAAATTTGTGTATTCAATGCAAACTCTAATTTATTTTAAATAATTAAGTATCCATTTGTCAACAATTAGTGTGTAAATTAGGATTGCCTATAATATTGGTAAATGTACTATATTACAAATTTATAAACAATAAGTGGTTTGAGCTAAAATTTAGAAAGGCATTAAATTACATGTAAGGGATGAACTCTGAAATTTATTACAATTCACTTTTTCTTCAGTTCGAAATTTGCCGTTTTTAAATTACACTATAAGAACGTTCTAGGAAAGACTAATTTAATTTATTTTTTAGAAATATTGATTGAGACTTGAAAAATAATTAGAATAAATAATTTATAAAATCAAAATAATTATGTCTTAACCTCAATTTTGGAATAATCAAAACTTGTGGTAACACACGCATATGCAAAATAGATTTTTCTGTTATACAAAAGAAATTTTTTTTTAAAACCAGAGAAGGTTCAGTCAACGCGCTGCCATGAATAAAGAAATTTTAAGAGTTCTTGCTTTAAGAGCCACAGTGTTTTATTTACCTAAAGAACCTACTTAAAGAACCCAAAGAACTCTTAATTTTAAATTGCAAGTTTATAATATTAAATAAAATTTTAGTTACAGAAAAACAAAGAAGGCCTTGTTTAACAAAAATTATTAAAATTAAAAGGATTATGCCTTGGTGGTTTATTAAGAAATTCACTCACCTTCAACACGTGAGGACATCGAATCGAATCCCACCATGGCTGAAAAGAAAAAAAAAATTGTGAAGTGGGATTTTTACAATTTTTGAAGAGAAATGTTTAAAAAACAAAAGACCGCAAGAAATTGAAATAAAATAATAAAATTAGTTTATAATTAATTTGCATTTTTCGTAATTAATTAAAATTTTTTTTTTTTTAATTTGAAGAGAATTTGAAATATTAGTTTTCTAATGACCTGAAATTTTAAACATCGAGCTCTGATGTGAATAAGAATAATTCTGACTATGAGTTCTAACTTTTTGATTGCAAAATGTTATGTCATATACAATTATTGCATTTTCTAATTAAATTCAAAACTAAGAAAATTTCTTTCATTAGATTGCAATTTTCTGATTAAAAACACACTCAAACATATACACGAATTCAATTAATTCTATGTAATTAATGTTATAAAAAATCTGAAGATATGCAACATTTTTTTGTGTTGTTCTCAATTTAAACTTTATTTTCTATTATTAAAAAAAGTTTTTGAATTAAAATTAATATTAAGTTTTTTAATTAAATATACAACTGAATAGCATCCTAAATATACATACATACATACATACCTACATTACAATTTATAATATTAAAAATAATTTAAGCTAGTTATGGATTCAACTACAAAATGATATCATTAAAATAACAAATAACAAAATTACAGTTATAAAATATAAAATTAAAACAAAAAGAAATCGAAAAGAAAAAAAATTGTCAGGTGCTTCGCTATAAAAATTTCATTGAAGCCCGACATGAATTCCATTAATTTTGAGAAAATTAATTTAATTAAATGGGAAAAAATTACAATAATTTAATTGAATTCTTTCAAAACACCTCCTTATAACATATATATGTATGTGTACATATGTACATAATTAATTAATAAAAACATGGTTAATGCAATTTTGTTGCCTGTAAACCGTGTCCAATATTAGAAGCATGTCCAAAGTCATTACAAAACTACATAAAATGTAATAAAGAAGAAAATTCTGCAATCATTGATTATTTTCCACAATTACGAATGTGACTGGTATACATACATTGTATAATGTGAATGCAATTTATATTAAATATGGCGTCACATATTCACATGCCATTCAGTATGTATATATACGTATAATATGTGCATATATACGCGAGTAAATATAGTATACATAAACATGCAATTATAATTTTTATTTTTAATTTTAATATTCTTTGGTAGAGGAAAATGAATGTAAAATGTATAAAATGTTAATAATATACTGTCATGATATGTCATTTATTTTTGAAAGAAAAGCAAAAAAAAAAAAAACAAAAAAATAATGCCATGTTATTAAAAAATTTTTTTTTTAGTTTTTTCCACAACCCTTTTATTTAGGCCTTCAAAATGTCGCCTATTCTCTTTTGTCATTTATACACACTTAAAGTTTTATACACTAATAATAATAAGTTTGCCGCCTTATCTTGTAAAAAGAGAAATTATGTATGAACGTAGAATAAACAATATTTTCTCTAATTAATTAATTTTATACTGCATTTGACATTAATTTTATACAATTTATTGTACAAATTCTTATAAAAAAGCAAATAAAAAATCTGTCAATTAAAATTTGCTTTCTTTGTCAAATATCTGCAAAAAATATGCTTTCACAGCATTATTTAATTTAAGAGAATGTGGTATATAAGTCAATTACATTATATGTAGTACAAAATGTGTTATTTTCATTATCATTAATAATTGTGTGAATGAAATTTTTCTTATATTTATTGGTTTTCATCAAGTATTGCATAGACAATAATAGATTATTTTGATTATGAGCAATAAATTTGAGAATCCAAAAAGATAATTCTAAAGACAGAACTGATTCTTTTGATTTTCTGGAGCCAGCATTTTCAAGACCCAGGATGCTAGGAGAATTCGATACGTTTCGACAAGACAGTGTTTCGACAAGACATTTTATTGAGCATACTGACCTAATTCAAGCTCAATCATTTCCAGTTCTTCTGTTCATACTTTCCTAACAGCACTTTGGTTCGTCGAAGTGCATGAATACTATTTTAATGCTGTTTTTTTTCTTTGTCCTTCACGAGCAATATGAGTCACAATTCCGTTCATAGAGGGATAACAGTAAATGGTAAAAGAGAAAGGAACACTTCAGTTCCTCATTATGTTTACGCAGGTGGTCCAGCATGGAGTAAGCCAATCCAATTCATTGAGTTTTTCAAGACATCCCAACAATTCAATTCGCAGGGATATTAAAAACTAATTCAGCGTTCCAATAGCAATCTGACTATCCGAAATAGTCTTGAATCTTTACTATTTTAAATTTATTATAATATTCGAGTATTTCCTTAGGATGGTAACCTTCAGAATCTTTGTTTTTATAATAATAGTAGAATTTTAAGTGTTGTGTTGTTATGCTTTTTTAATTTCTTTTCATTCTTAAATCGTTTAAATACACACAAAATTTTTCATTTTTGTTTTAAATATAAAATTATATTTAATTTTCATATTTAAGAACGAGAAAAAAAAAGTACGATAAACTAAAATTATTTACCATATTAAATTATTCAGTTTCGTTATTCGATTCCATGTCATTAAATTGAATTTATAATGCTAGTTTTTCTTTCAATGCCTGTTAATTTTAATTTTTTTTTTTTTAACTTTATTTCTATATATGCGTAAACTTATGAATATTAATAATATTAAAGAATCAAAAAAGCTGGTTTATCGTATTCGAGGAGTTAAGGGGGATTATTATTGGCTGGACTGTAAGAATTTCTTTTGAAGTACTCAAACTAAAAATAATTACAATAAAAAATTTATGAAAAATGAACAATCGTTTGGGATTTACATCTTGATTTCTAATAATACATTTGGGTCTTTAAACATAACTTCTGTAGCTAAATATGTCATGTATGTTCTATGTTAATATTGTGCTTATATTTAAATGGGTATGTATGTATATATTTATATAAATTACACCCTTATGTTGCATGTCAAAATAAAATAATCTTAACATGAATTTTTTTTTTTTTACTTACATTTTTTTCTTATTTTTTATTATATTTTTATTATTATAAATTCGAATTTCATTAAAATCCAGTTGGAAATATTCGTAATGGTAAGACAAACATACATTCATAATAATATATGTACTATTTATACCGTATATACAAATATACATTCATACATACTAATATCCATGTAGAAAAATGTATAACTAGACCTTATACTAAAGTAATTGTAGCCATCTTCGTTCAAAAACGAAAAAACGAAAAAAAAAGGAAAAAAAAAACTACAAACTTAAATATTAAAAATAAATGGGATGAAAAAAAATTAAAAGAACTGTTCAAAGATATAATTTTAGTTTTTAACATGGCCGTCGTCATTGTAAATGTTGTGTTTTTTTTTTTTTTATTTTTTTATGTGGTTTGCTTTATTCCTCATAGCAAATATAATTTTTTTATTTAGTCGTTCATTTTAATTATATACTCGTATAGTAGCATGATTTATTCATTTTAGGCCGCGGGTTCCCGAAAGATTTGTTACGTTTATGAGGTTTCAAAATTTTATAGTGTTTTGATCCACGTATATGTGCATATGTACGTATTTCTGATTTGTTGATGTTTGGATGAATACATTTCAAGAGCATTGATAATTCTGATACACGGGGAAAGAGGCATAGACCCCTCTCACATCACCAAAATATCCATCGTCTAGAATTTTAAGAACACTGAGCATTTACGATTTCCGACTTACATCCTAGCCCTTTAGTCTGAACCACTTCCTCGAGACCTATATCCTGAAATAATTTTAATTTTTTTTGTAATTAGAGCCCAACATTATTACACTACACCGTATAATATTCAAATTTTTCTGTTAATCAAAGTTCCACGAAACCTCAGGTGCTCTTATTCGTTATGCAAGACTCCTATGGATACTCTACCAACTGGCAATGTAATGTCTCTACAAGAAATCCGACAGGCTTCTTACTTTGCTCTTCCCTATTGCAATAAATATATTGAGCCAGTTTTGGTTGTCGGGGAACAAAAAACCGCTCCTCACCATACCTCACTTTAAAAATTTCTCACCGTTCCAGTTCCAGAAATAGTGTGTCAACTGCCAGTCTTTTTTTCTGCTAGCACGTACGCGATTTCATAAATCTCCATGCATACTCGTATGTTTTTCGGAATCGAGTTCAATATAATGTTAGTAGTTCTTATTTTGCAACTTTTCTGATATCAGGGGTAAAAGTTGAACTTACGCGTTCCTGACTATTTTTAACAGCACTGCTATATCTAATGAATAACCTATGGTTGATATTATCAAACATTTTAATTTTCCTTTCTTGTTCTTTTATTTTTTTATTAAAAAAATTATTCAGAAACAATGTTGGAAAAACAAGCAAAAGAACAAAAATATCTGGATAAATTTTACTTCATGTAATTCTCTTGTATACAAACATTTGTGCTTCAGATATACTCATACACACATATATACGACATACGTACAATGGCGGATACAATTTATACATGCCTTGTAATTTCTGTGTTTTTTTTTTGAACAATAATTACATGATTGGTGTTCTTTCTTTTAATACTTGCAATGAAAAAATAAAATTAAAGAAAAAAATAAAACATGAAATTTTGTCCAAACCAATACTTATAGATTACCTATGTACATATACATACATACAAATACGAACTTACGTTTTTTTACAGAAATGAGTTGGAAACTGGAATATGAATGTACATATTTACATATACATATAGGTATAGATCTGCGTTTATTTTTGTGCACGCATCAGTTGATATGCGATTGTAGCTCATATTCAATTCCCATTCCAAAATGAAACTCCATATGTGCAACGCAAAATTGCTGCAACAGACTATAATATTCACTTTTTTCTATATATTTCGGCCGACATATTTAAATTTTCTGTTTTTTTTTCATTTTATATTTTATATTTTACCTTGCGGAGTTAAGCCTCAAGTTGTTTAAAAAAAAAAAACGAAAT